AAGAAATGGAAAACAGCTGGAAGAAGGAGCAGCGTTCAGTAGCAAGGTGAAGACAAGTCTTGAAGGAGAGAGGCTTTTAAAGAAAAAATTTTAAAAACCCAGCAAACCTCAGCTCTGCACTTCACCCACCAGGTCAAGTCTGTACATTTTCTATTTCCCCTCTTAAATCAACAGTGATTGGCATCGGCTCAAAAGCAGTTTCAAGGGGGAAAAGATGCTGGGATTAAAAAAAAAAAAAAAAGAAATCCAAAATGTTACGCTGTAGCTACCAGTGACTGAGAATTGCCTTTGATGAAAAGAAATCCAAGCATCAAATTAAAAATGCAGCGTTTCAGTGGCACGTGATTTGCAGTTTTAGAAAATGATCAAATGTTTTTGAGGTCATTTGGATGTTTAAAGGGTCTCATTCTTGAATAGAAGGAAGGACAACTATGCTTCGATAACTGAAATTTGTATCCTGGTTTTTGCACCAACTGATGCAGGGCTTGGGAGTGTTGCGGACGGGAAATCTGATGTCAGAAAAATCTGAGCAGAAGGACTTCTGTTGCTAGAAGCCTTTCCATCTCGGTCCCTGCCTTCTTCTCAGGGCAACTCTGGGTAAGAAACATGAGCCCTAAAGCACTACAGTGCAAGTCTCCCTCCTGTCCCTTGGGGCATTCTCGCATTTTCCCAATTTGCTCTTTCCTGTAGAGGCCTCTAACTAAAAGCATCTGGCATCCCTTCCCTTGTTGGCGTGGACCGAGCCTGGTGAGAAGCAATGTGAATCCCACAGCCACCAGCTCGCTTGCTTGTTCCCATTATGATTTTTTTTTTTTTTTTTTTTAAAAACCAAATGGATTTGAGGTGCAGAAACTTTAATAGCCCATCCGGCACGATCAACTTTCCTCCTGGAGAAAACCCCAGTGGCTTGCACTTGCATGCATGCTTGCTAAAAATCAGTTTGCTGCTTTTATTGTAGATGTCTAAAGGCTGTAAAGTATGGTTTGTTCCTCAAACTTTTGCTTTGTGTTTTGGAGAAAGCACATGATTAAAATAACCGTTTAAAATGAGCAGCAACAGCTTTGCGTAAATACCTGACTTGGGGTATTTAACGTATGTGTAAATTAGCGGCAGTGCCAGATTGGTTCAGAAATGCCATATCTTTTTTTTTTTAAATATATATATTTTATAACACTGGTTTTTAATATTTGCTTGTCTATAATGAACGGCAACAAAACAATCCAAGTTGGAGCTAATGTTCTTGTTGCTTAGGATTTGAAGGTCCCTTTATGTGTATCAATGACTTCTTAACTTTTTACCATTTTAAAGCTCAGAACAGTAATATAGTTGGCCTGTTCCCTTGAAAAGCTTCTGGGGGGAGGGCACGCGGTTAAAAATGACTCATTTTGCTGCACTTGACTGTATCTGATGGAGCGTCTTTGTGTTTGCCTTCCCTGTCTGCGTGCTATGGACTGAATTACAGTCATTAGTGCTCCTTTGCTGCTCTAGCTGGTAACCGGTGAGTGTTTTATTGATAGATTTACTACATTTTATTCAGAAAAATGTTGCTCTTGGATCACTGCTGTTTCTGGCTCATCCTGTTTATGCAGCACATCATCATTTCAGCGACATGCTCTTCTGTTTGTACCCTAAACTGCTGGGGCGAATTACTGATCGGCACAGTTTAAATCTCATTAGGACTTCAATAGAGGAAGGTCACTTGGGGGTTTCCTTCAGCATCCTACTGCCTTTGGTACTTGTAGCTCACCACCAGGCCTGCCTTTCTAACCCTGCCAAATAAAAGCCCTCCGTTGTAGCTTACCTCCCAAGTTTCTTGCATCTCCTAGGTGCCACCATCAAGACACGTGCCTTGGTTTGAGAGCTTGCTAGAGAGTAATGGAAGGTTCTTCATCCCGCGTTCTTGCCTCTGCCTGCTAGAGGTTGCAATGTAGTTGGATCCAAAAAAAAAAGTACTTTTTCCTCCAGTGTGGTAGTGCACGGCACTGCCCTGCCATTCTCCCTGTCTATGTCTAATAGACATTGGACATAGACGTAGACATGCCTATTGTCTTGTGTCTAGACATTAGACATGGACATTAGATATACTGTCTAATGTCTCCCTCTAATAGACATTAGAGGCATGCTCGGGTGGGAGGGGCTTCACCTCTCTCCTAAAGGCAACCGTGTCTTCTCTTCCAGGTTGGCAGACCTCGTACGGTATGCTTTAAATTCCACCAGGGAGGACTACACCTTGGGTGCTCGGGGCTGCAGGGGGGCGGTCAGGAAGGCCAAGGTGGAGATGGGACTGGGACTAGTGACCCGGATCAAAGACAACAAGAAGTTCTTTTTTAAATACAGAGGGGGCAAAAAGAAGGTACTGGGTAATGTGGGGCCTGTGCAAGACACGCTAGGAAACTTGGTCGTCGCACCAGATGACAGAGCTAACCTGTTTAACAATTTCTTTGCCTCCATTTTCCTGAGCAGGGACCAGATCAGCCCACCCACTGGGACCCCCTCAGGCCCCGGGGGAGGCGCACCCAGGCCTCGGGTCAGTGAGGATGTAGTCAGGGAACTTCTGGAGGGACTGGACATATTTAAACCAGCAGGTCCTGATGATCTCCACCCCAGAGTGCTGAGGGAATTAGCAGAGGTCATTGCGGGACCCCTGGCATGGCCTTACGAGCACTCGTGGTGCTCTGGTGTGCCAGAGGACTGGAAAAGGGCCAATGTGGTTCCCATTTTCAAAAAAGGGAGGAAGGAGGACCCAGGAAACTACAGGCCAGTTAGTCTTACCTCAGTCCTGGGTAAGCTTTTTGAGAGAGTTATCCTGGCGCATGTCCACGAGGGACAGCAGGGGAGTGCATGCTTAGGGGCAACCAACACGGGTTCATTAGGGGCAGGTCCTGTCAGACCAGCCTGGTGGCCTTCTACGACCAGGTCACAACATCCTTAGACGCAGGGGTAGCAGTGGACGTAGTCTTTCTGGACTTTAGGAAGGCCTTCAACACTGTCTCCCGCCCCATTCTCATTAAAAAACTCGGGGACTGTGGTGTCAACAGCTACACAGTGAGATGGGTCACTAACTGGCTGGAGGGCCGCACCCAGAGAGCGGTGGTGGATGGGTCTTATTCAACCTGGAGGGCTGTGGGCAGTGGGCTCCCCCAGGGCTCGGTGCTCGGGCCCGCACTGTTCAACATGTTCATCAGCGACTTGGACGAGGGGGTGAAAAGCACCCTGTTCACATTTGCTGAAGACGCTAAGATGTGGGGAGAAGTGGGCACGCTAGGAGGGAGGAATAGGCTGCAATCAGACCTAGACAGGTTACAGAGGTGGGCGGATGAGAACAGGATGGGTTTCAACAACGACAAGTGCAAGGTGCTGCACCTGGGGAGGAAGACCCAGCAGCAGACCTACAGCCTGGGGAACTCCCTTCTTGTCAGCGCAGAGGCAGAAAAGGATCTTGGAGTCATTATTGATGCCAAGATGAACATGGGCCAACAGTGTGGGGACGCGGTCAGGAAAGCCAACCGCACCTTGTCATGCATCCACAGATGCATCTCGAGCAGGGCCAGGGAGGTGATCCTCCCCCTCTACGCGACACTGGTCAGGCCGCAGCTGGAGTACTGTGTCCAGGTCTGGACGCCGCACTTCAGGAGGGATGTGGACAGCATGGAGAGGGTCCAGAGGAGGCCACCCACATGGTCAAGGGGCAGCAGGGCAGGCCCTATGACAGGGATGGGCAATTATTTTGGGCGAAGGGCCGCTTGATGAGTTTTGGTGAGCTGTCGAGGGCCACATGGGTAGCCCCGCCCCTTCAGTTGCCCCACCCGCTGGTTGCCCTCTTGGGACCGTAAGTCCCGCCCCCTTGCCCCTGACGTTTGCCACCGGAAGTCCCTCCCCTTGCCCCTGGAAGTACTCCTTTTGGAGAGGTGGCCTTGGAACCTGCCCTCCCACAAGCAAGGACCCAGCCCACCCTATCAGGCCCCAGGCATCAAAACCTGGCCAATCTCCCCACCCATCACTGGTGCCAGCATGACCTGGGGGTCTTCACTAGGAGGCTAGATGATCACCTTGCCGGGGTTGTTTGACCCCAGTACTTTTTCCTGCCGTGGCAGAGGGTTGGACTTGATGACCTGCTCAGGTCCCTTCCGACCCGACCAACTATGAAACCTGTCTAGAGATTGCTAGACATTAGACATGGACATTAGACATACTGTCTAATGTCTAGGTCTACGTCTTAACCTTAGACCTGAGGTCTATTTGGTTAAGTGTGGCACTCCGAAGGAGTTGGTAATGACCAACTATCCATAGAAGCTAATTATCAGTATTTAGATTTTTTTGTAAGCTTGGTTTTTGCTTGACATATCGAGACACAGTAAAGAATAGGTTTTAGCATTTCTAATGAAGGAAAAAATTGAATTACAAACTGCGTGCGAATGTTATCCGCTCTGGCTTGCTGGATGAAAATCGTGTGTTTCTATAGATAAATACTTTGTGTGTAATTTCTTTCTACAAAAATTCAGAGCACTTGTATACAAGAATTACATGAGGATAAGGGAGTGAAATAATCAGAGATTTCTTTGCGCTTGTACATGAACTCGTATCTAACCCAGAAGATAATCCTACAAAAAAGAATGGTTAATCCTTTTGTTTTTCTGAGCTAAAAAATGTATCCAATGCTTAATGAGTGTCGGCTGGTTTGACCAGTGCTCTGGAGGGCATTGGTCAGGACCTTTAAACAGGCTAATTATCAGCTGCCAAGTCCATTGCGATTCAATCTGTATGCGTGTTTACAATTGTCTGCACTTTTTAATCATTCGTGACTCGTCCAGGGCATTGTAGTCCAAATCTGTAGAGCTCTGGTGGGAATTTAACTTGCTGATTAATAAGACAGGAACGCCGAGCTGTCCCGCTGCCCAGCCGACCACATGCCACTCGTGTAAAAGCAAAGACCTGTTGGTTCCCGGTGGACTTGCTCCCCACTTGTACTTGAAAACCTCTCCCGTCTTGTTTTTTTGCAGGTATGATGTGAATATGCGTTGCCTGACAGCTCGGGTCAACTATAAGACTTTGATCGTGATCTGCACTCTCTTCACGCTTGTCACGGTGCTGCTGTGGAACAAATGCTCCAGCGATAAAGCGGCTCAATTCTCCCGGAGTCTCAACGGCGGCTTCCGCGTGGACAGCTTGGAGAAACGAGCGGCCGCTTCGGAGAGTAACAACTATGTGAACAGCCTCGTGAAGCAGCAGAGCGAGGAGGCATCGCCGCAGGAGCAGCAGAAAGCCCCGCCTATCGTGGGCGGCTTCAACAGCAACGGGAACAGAGTTTTGGGACTGAAATACGAGGAAATTGACTGTCTGATCAACGACGAGCATACGATAAAAGGGAGGCGAGAGGGCAGCGAGGTCTTCCTGCCCTTCAGTTGGGTGGAGAAGTACTTTGAGGTCTACGGGAAGGTTGCTCAGTATGATGGGTACGACCGGTTTGAATTCTCCCATAGCTACTCCAAAGTGTACACCCAGAGAGCCCCCTACCACCCCGATGGCGTGTTCATGTCCTTCGAGGGCTACAACGTGGAAGTGCGCGACAGAGTGAAGTGCATCAGCGGCGTTGAAGGTCAGTCTGACCCGCTTTATTACAGCTGAAATGCCCCTTAAAGTTGGCTGTCGTCATTAGAGATGCAAGGCTTATTTTTGTTCTGCAACGGCAGCTCTTGAGAGGTCTCTGGCTTCCCGAAGTCTCAGTTGGGGTGTCACCAATGCAAGCCTCAAGCTAGCGTTGTGCTGTCCTTCCAGCTTCCTTCGTGTGTCTCTAATGCAGCTGGTTGGAAGCACCAGAAGGTCCTCTCGTGCTTCACTGCACAGCCCTGTGGAGACAGGTTATAATCTCAGGGCAGAGGCACAAAGCACCGGAGAGCATTTTGGGTCATCTGTGCGATCGCATAAGGCAGAACTGTCTATTCAGGAGTATTCTCTATTCAGCAGTCACGCTGCGTTTAACAAGATAAGACCTTATTTGTTTTCATTCATACGTGTGCGAGTTAACGGAACGATTTAACCTCCCACTTTGGAAAGCCTTTTTATAGCAAAAAGATGAATACTGTGCACCACGAGCAAATAGTGCCGGATTGAATGCATGCAGATTTAACTGGGCCCAGCATGCGCTTTGAGCCAATTGGGGTATCAGAGCCATTGTAATTCCTGAGGGCGGATGAATTGCTTGAGTTAAAGATGAGATCGTTTAAACCATTTTAAAGCTTTGTCACATAAGACCGTGAGGAAAATGAAAAGCTAAGTGTAGGACCCTTCTGCTTTGTACTTGGTGAATCCACACAGCCCATGACTTGTATGCACAAGCACTCTAGTGCCGTCTTGTAGTACCAAGAATGCATTACTTTTACAGAATTTACTGTAGAATCGATTGGCACTCTTTGGCATATTGTAGACAAAAACTAAACTGTTTCAGGAAAACGAAATGCATTGATAGGATGATGAATTTTTAATTTAAGGGGAAAATTGCCGGTTTGCAAGCCATTAACTGCACCCCTGAAACATCACGTGTGTGTGTGTGCGCACGCACGCACACGTATTTCATAGTCATTAGTGATGTTCCACTGTATGTTAGCATCAACTTTTTACTTCTGTTATCTGGTCGCTTCTAAGCCCCTGCACAAAATAGGATTATTCATATGGAAAAAATGCCCAGGAGTGAATGCACGGTGTCTGAATTAATCACAAATACCATTGTCCTTCAGGTCACATTCCAAAGAACACCGTTATCAGCTGAGTGAATATTTCTATTGCACCTTTTCTATCAATATCTCAATAGTTTTAATCTCGAGCATACATTTGGAAAAATGTATAAACTGCTCTGTTGCAACACATCTCTACCAGCAGCGGGCTTAAGAAATCTTAAAAGATTTTTTCGAGATTATTGAATTTGTTTTGCTTTCTTGAGCTTAACTGCCACGTCCGATTCCCTGCATCTGCTTTTAAGCACTCAGTTTACTGTTTGTTTCAGCATTTACTGGACCTTGCCTTTAACGGAGAGGAGCATCACCTTCCTATTTCAGCTCCTGCTTCAGTAAAATAGTCGGGGAGAGAGGGATGCAGTTAATCTCAAACTATGCATGTGAGTGGTAAAAAAAGGGACTTGTGCAATGCTATTATTGGTTCCATTTGAACTGCGTCCCAAGGTGACCTAGCTCTGAATTAGGCCAGACATTTAAAAAGGCCTTCTAACCGACTCTCCTGTACCGCAGACAGGGCCAGTTCTACGTGTCGTGGCTGCCTCAAAGCTGCAACTAGCCTAGAAACAGGCATTGCCTTTGTGCCACCATAAACATGTTGTATGTCGGGACAAAGCCCAAGCAAACAGACACTTGTCTCCTCGTTGCACCATAAATGTCCAGAATTGTGGCTACAGCAGTAGGTGGTAAACCTTTGTGTCACATTTTCACAGTGGGTGTGTGTTTGCTTTATGATGGGAGAGCATGGGCAGCCCAGAACTATGCCCCAGGCAGGAGTCCAGTCCCGCACACCCCAGGAAGGACCTCTAAAGTGCCAGGAGCACCTGCCTAGATGTCCCTGCTTGTAGAGGCCTGCCCCCATAATCTTCCTGCCAGGGATTCCCCGGGCATGAATGTCACACTTCCACGTCCCAGCTCGGGACAGCAAGAAACACCTTTGTCGCCCACTGGAGCGGCTGATCCTGCTCCATGGACAGCATCTGCTGATGGCCTTGGAGACTAGATACCGTTCAGCACAAATGCTGTGTTTCTCAATGCTGGCGACTGTTCTCATGAGATGAAAATGTTCTCCCTATTTCTTATATTACATTAAGTACCTTTGGGAAACTTCAGCCAATTGCTCTGGTGTTGGCTGTGTTTATCTAGACCTGTGGTTCTCAACCGTTTTTAGTCTCGAGGCTCTCCTTGGAAAAAGCCAGCTCTGAGCTTTCAATCTTTTTTTTTTTTCCTCCTCCTCCTTTTTTTGACTACAGAAAAATAGTAGAGCAATTCTTCTGTTGCAAAGAACTCAAAAGCCCACAGCAGGGCAGAACGTAGTTAACAGCGTGGATTCCTATTTGAAATCGGAGTTTCTCTTGTGAATTGTGTTTGCACACCGAACAGTGCTAACATTGTGTGGCACCCTGTGGCACACCTTGATGGGGGTCTCTTGGCACCCTGTTTGAGAATAAATAATCTAGATAGTAGGGCTGGAATGTCGTTGTAGACATGATGGTCCAGCAAATGCCGTGAGGAAAGGCTTTTTTGTGATTTTATTTTTATGGACCAGTTGTAAAGCTGGGAGAGCAAGAGCGCCTCATGACCCAACGCTTGTCCATTAGCACTTCCGAACTATACCGTGCATCCGATCAAAGATATCACAAAAATAGCTTCATAGACAATGAGGGTGGAAGGGACCTCAGGGGGTCACATCTAGTCCGACCCCTGCTCCGTGCAGGACCAGCCCCAACCACGTCATCCCAGCCAGATGTTTCCATTCATCTAGATAGGTGCTTTCTATCTAGGTCATTCTACCCCTCTCCATCAATGATTACCCCCTTATTGTGACTCCTGGGCTTTAAAACACCGTCTGCTTTGCATGTTAAATATAGCGAGTGCCTGGAGATACCTGCTGCTGGTCACTTCGCGGCACCCTCGACACTTTATTCTAACACATTTCGATTAAGTAAGATGCGCTCTACAAAACGATGCAGCCCCCCACCTTCCTGCAGCTCCTTGGTGCGCAAAACATGTAGGCTGCAGACAAATGTGCAACATGTTTTGCTGACCGGTATTTCGGGCACAACCTGGTGGGGACTGAATCGAACCAAATTGCCGAGCATCGTTTACCTACAGATTTGGTGTTAGCAGCTCGCCCTTTAGAGCTGTCCCTGTGGGAGGTGATGCCCAAGCCTCGACGCGGGTGGGGGAATAACATGACAGGTGTCTGGCAAACAGATTTGATAGGAGAATTAGTTACAGCCAGTGGGGAAGACTTTGCATTGTTATTCTGCATCATTTTGTTCAAAGTAGGCTTTTATTGTCACTTAGACGTGAGAAAGAGGAGCTGCTATGTTTTACCTTGTCTCTCTCCTACAAGGTTAATATGTTGCCTCATGTCCCGTGACCTGGAGAATTTAATCGTGTCATCTCCGTACATTAACAGCTACAAATAAGACTTTTATAGCAGATTTTCATTTTGTGCGTCTTCC